AATCACGTATGTTGGAGAAATGTCAGTTCATATGATCACCTCTGTATATGACAAGTTACTAATAATCAATTTGTTTGAAATTCTGATATTATTGACTCTATTCTAAATACAATCAATAATAGAATCTCTATCTCTTCCAAGAAAACTTTTTAAACAATGTATTACTTAAGCACAGATTATGCTAGTCCATAGCTAGTCAATACACTATAGTATATATATAGTCAGTGTACTATAACCAACCAAAATGTCTCACAAGAGTTGTCTGAAACTCCTCATTAGGCAAGATGTTAAAAAAGAGCAAGAAAATCCAAAAATTAAGTCAGATGTTTCAGGCTGATAGTTGGCATTTCAAAAGCAGTCATAAGTGGGGGACCAATGTATAGCTGATAGTGGGTATTGGTATCAGGTTAGATAAAATCCTCAATGCTTTTTCTTGACCTCCTCCTAATTTAATTAAATTGAAGTAGCTTTCTAAAAAACATCATTTAACAAGGAACACAGAAGATAAGCTCTCCCATTCTTCCCCCACTGTCTCTTAAAATCTGAATTTTGTATAGTATTTATCTGTTGATTTGAAAGTGGATAGCAGACTCATTATGCTGAGAAAGACTGTGGCAATAGAATTATTGACTATTTACCTAGTCCCACCAGTGAATTTGGTATATGAGCCTTGGAACTACAGGAGTTGTGTCAAAGGTTTTACAGGAAGTTGAGTTTTGAGAAGAGATGGGAATGGTATAAGAAAAGTATCATTGAAAAGAGTTGTGGGAGGATAAGAAATAACAAGTGGCAAAGAGTGTTTTCTGGGGGGAAGCAGAAGAACTCTCTCAAGTGGAGGGTGTGGAGCCAGAAAGAAAGATTTGGAGGAGAGGGATGGGGCTGGGAGTGAACAAGAATACAATCAATTTGTAGAATTCATTACCACAGGACTTAAATGGCTTTCAAAAGGAATTCAAGTTTATGGAGGATGCATCTATCAAAAGCTGGTATTTGTAAAGATGCTCCTGGCCATGGCTGATACCTGCTTAGTGAGCAGGTGCTGAGAGTCTCCAGGATCTCCAAATTATTTACTAGGTTTACCTGAAGATCCAACTGAAGATTAAAAATGGTCAATCTCTGTGACTAGAAAATCCTTGAAACCAAAGCCACTCAGTCTTTCTTGGGTTTAGCTTCAGCCTGTTCCTCCCCAACCAGATTTACAGGCACCAGGTAGAACAGGACCACAACACTGCTTGTCAAGCCCAGGGATGAGATATAAAACTAGATATCACCCGCATACTGATGATATCTGACCTCTTGCAAACAGATTGCCTACACCTATGTAGATGTTGAATAGGAGTGGGGAGAGCACTGAGCTTAGTGGGACCCCATAGATTAAGGGCCTTGGAGTAGATCTCCCCTCACTTACCAGATTAGAACTGAACCACTGCATTATAGTGCCCCCCACTCTCAATTTTACTGTACTTTCTTATGTTTCTTCTGACACAGAGCATGAACATCCTGGAGTCAATCATACTGTCACTCTCAGACTTAAAGGTCTCCTTTAAGCACAGCACAGCATATAAATACATGATCTGTGGGGATATGTGAGTGGAAGATAATGGAGAAGATATGGAAAAAATTCAAGGACAGGAACCAAATCAAATACCTTCTCTGCCATTATATTCAAATGGGTTAGTGTGTGGCCTTAAAGTGCATGGCAGGATAGGAAACTGTGAAGAAAAGGAAATTTGTAATTCTTCTACTAAAAGTTTCTATAGCTGGTGGGAGACTGATCACCTGCAGTACATCCATCAAACCCCCAATTAAATCC